TCAGGGTGTTCACTGAAAATCCTCTCTAATGAAATTTTTCTTTTTTTAAAGAGCCGGCATAAGTTAACGCAGGGGTGTGAGTTTGCCGAGTGCATACTCATATAGTGGCCTGCAGTGAACTTGTAAGTGCACTGCACATAGTGGCCTGCAGTGAACTTGTAAGTAACTAACTTCCCCTATATTTTTCCCTCACACCACCACCAAGTTGGGGCTTATCCAATAAATACCTGCTCAGCCACTTTTCTGACTCGAAATCCAGGGCTTTATTCTTACTCCTGTTTATCCAATTTAATCTAGTTGGGTTTGGCCTAGCATTAGTTCTGACTGGACCAGACCCATCTAGTCCCTGAGAGAAGTCATTTCTCAATACTAATTGTCTTTTGGACTAACTCATTCTGAATTGAGAAATAGTTTAAGAAATGAAAAAACAATGCAGGCTTTTCCAGTCTACTAAAAAAAAAACTATTTTTGTCTGCTGGAAGAGATGGAAGAATGAGTTAGATGCTGAGCCTATTTTAAGTTTCTCATACTGATCTGGTCAAGTTTGTCTTTTTAAAAGCCAACGCAATTTCTCACATAAGACTAAGGGAATTTAATATTTAAAGATATAGTTGTTAAAATAATAATGCACATTATTGAATAATCCCTAAAATATTAAGTATTTACTACAAAACACAAAATGTGCTCACCTTTTTAATGCATTACCTCAGATACTCATCACATCCATCCTGTGAGGGAGACAACGTTATCATACATATTTTACCAACGAGAAAACAAAGCCTTAGAGAAGTTACCTAACGACTTGACAATATGCAAAGTTTTGTTGGTTTTAATTAAGAAAAATGCTTCCAACATCTTTGTGATCGTTTAATAAAATAAGGGGTAAATAACCTCCATATTTAAACTGGAATTGGAGAAGACTATTTTCTGGTGACTTCACAAGCATCTGCTTCAAGTAATGTTTCCTGATTTTATTACATTATCACAATTATGGCCACTGCAAAAGTCGAACAATGTATTAAAATGAATAATTTCTTAAAAATGCCCGAGACGTAAACAGATACCTAGTATTCTGATTACTATGCATTAGGATAATCTAAAATAAAGATACCCCTTTAGTAAGAAAATTACAAGTAAATTCCTTTCTGTTAGGAATTCACTTCATTCTGGTTCAAACCTCATTCTGATTCTTTGCTCACTCAAAATTGAACCATTAATTACTCATCTAGTTTGTAAAACAACTGCACTATTGGTATGCTGCCAAATTTTGTAAGACAGCTGTTTAAAACTAGTACTTTTCTTTAGGTTTTCATACACACACACACACACACAGATGAGACAGAGTCTTGCTCTGTTGCCCAAGCTGGAGTGCAGCGGTGCAATCATGGCTCACCGCAGCCTCGACCTCCTAGGCTCAAGTGATCCTCCTACCTCAGCCTCCCCAGTAGCTAGGACTACAGGCACATGCCACCACACAGGGTTAATTTTTATATTTTTTTTGTATAGATGGGGTTTTGTCATGTTGCCCAGGCTGGTCTTGAATTTCGGGGCTCAAGTGATCCTTCTGCCAATGTGCTGCGATTACAGGCATGAGGCACTGCTCCCAGCCTAGGTTTTCTTTTATATAGAACCAAAATGTGGTCCTTTCAAAGTCTGTATGAATCATGAATCAGAATAAAGTGAAAAAGAAAATTTAATACCCTATTCAATAAATATAATTAAAATGTATTATCCTGTGTATTTTGAATCTCGGAAATAACTATAGAATCCAAAGAAATAGTGAAAAATTTAAACAGTACTCAAGGCTTTATCCTAAAGTCAGATAATTAGTAGGAAGCATAGCTGATAAACTGTGCGAGGTCAGTGAAGAGCCCTGCAGTTGGTGTAAACTCCAGCCCAGCTCTTCAGCTACTACTCAGAGAGGGACACCCATCTGGATGAAGAAAGCCAGTGGCACACCCTGATTCACTTAAAAATATATATACTACTTTTATGTGTAAGAGTGTATGAAGAGTGAAATACTACTGATTAAGTGGCACATACCGATTTCATTTTCACTTAAGAAGTATTAATGAAAAGCCCATGAAGGTAACACAATACATTCCTAAACACTTGCATTTCCTGGAGACTGACTATATCACTATATTCTCTTGTCTCCTCCCCTGTTCTTACCAGGCCCTCTCATCTCAGATGAACTTTTATAGAGTCAAGCCCAGCAACAGCAAGAATAAGGCTGGGAAGCTAAGCAAGAGCCAGAGCATTGTGGGTTTCTTCCTACTTTGGAGATTTTGTGTTTTAAATTAACTTTAAAAGAACAGGGAACACAACAAAATCTAGAAAAATGCACTGAAAAATCAAGAGAAATGTGTTAGAAATGCACTTTAAAAGGAGGGCTCACTAAAACGAATGAAAAGCAGGGCCGGGGTGCCTGTCTCTGCTAGAAGAGTCAGGAAAGGCTTCACAAAGGTGACCCCAGTTTTAGAACCGGAGGTACAGAGACAAATTCTAAAGTTTCTGCAGAATATGGAAGGCTGAAGTTGATCTTCCCACGGGAGGCAGACAGACAATCCTCCTCCCAGGGCAGGCTACAAGGACGTGCAATTGTGCACTCATAAGGGTTACATGCTTAGGAGCGCTCCGTACTCAGAAGGAAGGGCCTGGCACTTGCTTTTATGCTATGCCTGAGCTAGCATTATCCTTTCTCTGCTGACATCCAGTCAGAGGGCTATTAACTTTTCCTTCTAAATGTTCTTCTAACTGTCCTCTTCTCCACTTAAAACTTCTTCTCATTGACTCCAACTTAAGCAGCAGCCTCCTAATGGGCCTTGTGTTTACCCTCAAACTACTTTATAAGATGACTGGTCTTTCTAAATGGCATGTCTGATTCTGCATTAAATCATTTCCCTTTGTAATTGATAATCCAATGATGTCACCATTAGTAAATAATGACTGACTTCAGCAAGGAATAGTGGGTGTATTATTTTGTTGGCTCAACACCTGTACTTCTTTCAGGCATGCCATTCCGCTTCTTCTGGTAACCCAACTCCACCCTTTACGAGAATGTCCTTCCCATGCAAGCTGGCACCTGAACCTAGCTGGGCAAATCAGAGCCTTTCCCTGGGATTTTGTTAGGATGGCGGAGGCTGCAAGATGTCAAAACCCAGAAGCTGTCAGAATCCATGATTCCTGCCAAGTGTGGAAAGCTGTCAATGCCAACAGTCAGAAATAAGAAATGGAGAGTTCTAGCAGTTTGGGTTCCTGGTTCTAGCTTCTTGAGACCCACCTGGCATCTCTAATTTTCTGTTTAACTCTGGTTTTTCTGAGACAATAAATTCCTCTTTTTGCTTAAGTTAATAAAGCTGGGTTTCTTGCTGGTACACAACATGGCAATTCATTATTTGGTTCGTACTTCTCCACCTAACCTATCTCCCCTTGTAAGCTCTCACACAGTTTATAATAAAACGCTTAATATTCTACGAATTCAACATGCTATCACACCTCTGCACCTCAGTCTCTGCACCTCTGGTCCCAACACCGGGGTCACCTTTGTTAAGTCTTTGCTGACTTCCCTAAGAGAGACAAGCACCCCAGCTTGCTTTCCTTTAGTCTGTGCCTAAGTGCAAGTTCTTACGGCAAAGTACTGCAATTGCCCTTGTGGATGACTGACTTGAGCCCGGCAGAGCAGTTAAGAACTTGGACTCTGGAGCCAAACTGAGCAGCTCCCCACTGAGTGGCTAAGACCTCTCTGCCAGTTGGGCAGGCCTCTCCGCAACTCAATTTCTCATTCATAGAGAGATAAATAACGCCTACTCTAGAAGATTGTTGTGAACACAGAACCAAAACGTGGACCTTTCAAAGTCCGTATGAATCATAAATCATAATATAATAAAAAAGAAAACTGAATTGAAAAGGTTTACTGATTTCTCTGGAGCTCGTAATCACAATTACTCTGCACTCAGAAAAGCCATCCTCAACATCTGTTTCCTAGGAAATGTCAATAAGCAGGTGGAAATAAAATGCTCCGAAGAACAAACCCAGACGAAGAGACCTATTGCCAAATCTGCAAGTGAGTGCCGGCAATCCACCACTTCCAGACTGGGAGTGGCCACTTCTCAGCTGCCACTCACTCCTCAGCTGGCGACAGAATGCATACTCTCCTACTCTAAGCACTTTGAGTCTCCCCCGTAAGAAGTATTTAAGCCACGAACTGAGACCACGATATCACATGCTGATCAGGACATTCACAGTCATGCGTCACTTAACGATGGAGATCCGTTCTGAGAAATGGAGAAATGTCCCCTTAGGCAATTTCTTCGGGCAGTAGCGCACTGACACAACCCCAGATGACACAGCCTACTGCTCTAGGGCATGAACCTGTACAGCCTGTCACTGCACTGAACACTGCAGGCAACCGTAGCATACTAGTGAGTATCTGCGTATCTAAACATAAAAAAAGTACAGTAAGAAAACGATATTATAATCTTATGAGACCACGCTGGCCCACATTGACCGGCAACGTCCTTCTGCAGCGCACAATCGTATTTAAAAGTGGATTACAAGAGTCAGAAAAACAAGCGGCGTGATTTGTTGTGGCGGCAACCAGGAAACTGACGAGTGCAAACCACTGGGCCCCAGTGTCGCGACCCAACCTCGCCTCCCCGTCGCCCGCTCAGGGCCCGACGCAGGGGTCCCGAGAAAGGGCGACCGCGGAGAAGCGGGGCGGGGCTTCTCGGCTGGGGCGGATCTCGCCCTCCCTCTAGTCCCCACCCGGCCGCAGCCCTGCCGCGAGCGACGGTACCTGAGGACGGCCCCAGATCCGCGGTGCCCATCTCAGCCCTGCTCACACTCTGCATGACAAGGGGCAGAAGAAAGAGGAGAGCCATGCTGCTACCGACGGACGCCGGCTCCAACCCAGAGCTACTGCGGACCGGGCCCGGCGCGGCCCTCCAGCCTCCGCCTTGCGTCACTTCCGTCACCGGGGTCTGTGTAGGCTGCGGCAGGAGGCGGGACCAGGGCGTGGGCGGAGCCAAGTCCGGGAAGCCGCAGGAGGCGGACTCAGCAGGCGGACTCAGGCGCCACACCCCGTGGTGAGCAGGGCGCCCTGCGGTCGGGACCTGGGTTTCTCGGTGTGGGAGGAACTTGAGTGCAAAGGTTAAGGTCTTTCAGCCTGGCACCCCATTCCGCAATTCTTCTTCCAGTTTTTTTCAGTATCCTGGGGTTGCGAAAGTTTGCATTAGGCCACAGCCGACCCACAATCCTTATTTTACTAACTCTTAGACTTCACCTGGGTGTCTTGGAGCCTGACATTTTTAGAAAAGAAAGAGACTTCAAAAGCCATTTCCAGTCCCTGCTTTTTCATTTGGGGAACCTAAGACTTAGCTAGTGAAGTGGTTTGTGCAGGTTCCTACAGCCCAAATCAAATCGGCTTGGCCAAGAACTACTTTGTTCTTGGAGAAAAAAACTATTTGCATTACCTTCTCAGCAATTCAGTGTCAAATCAGTTTATTAGGCAGCCTCTCATGAAGAGGTCTGCTTTCTTACCTCTCTGGGTTTGTCTGTTATTTTGCATCTCTCCCATTCCACTGCAGTCACGTTGCTAAATCATTCAGCGCTTGTGCTCAAACATGCATATGTCTAATGATCTCACGGGCTTCAATTCTGAGTATCATGACCTTTTGTAAAAATTTTAAATTGCGACACACCCTCTCCTCCTCCTTACTTCCCCTCTACTGTTTCTTCATGGCACTTTTCACCTTGCTGTACACTATAATGTACACCTTGATATTTGTTTTCTCCTGAAATGTAAGCTCCGTAGAGCTGACATCTTTACTTGGCACTCAATATTTGTTGAGTGAAAGAGTGCATGATTACTAGTGTTAAGGAAAATTGTTAAAGACGGAAAATCCTTAAGGGATTATCAGCCTGATCATTTTACTTGTATTAATAAATCCCTTAGCTCAGTACTTCTCAAACTTCAACGTACATGTGAACCTTCTGCGGATCTTGATAACATGCAGATTTGGATTCAGTAGTTCCAATTCAGGTTAGGTCTTGAGATTTTGTATTTCGGACAAAATACACCGGGGATGCCAGTGCCCCTTTCCATAGGACCACATTTTGAATCAGAAGAATTTAGCTCAATCTAGACTAAGTTTAGGGAGAATATTTTCTTTGATGTGTTTCTGATGTCCACTATATGAAAGACGCCTTCTAGTCGTTATAAGGATGCAAGGATAAATAACTGATCTTTACTGTTTAGGCGTTTATGGAGTAGAACAAAATATGGTATCCAGCTTGTAAACATTTTTGTAGTACTCGTCACACACTGGGTTACCCTGGCAGTAAACTCTGAGGTCGAGATTAAGGTATAAGACATTGATTAGGGAGTGCTCTTGGAATAAACCTCTGTGAAGGGGAGGTGGAGGAAGCAGAGCCTAGGAAGAAGTTGATCTGTGATGCCATCCCAATAAAGACTCCCAAGGGACTCTCTGGAGTTGGGATGGCCTTGTAAAGGTGTGTTGAGTTGGTATGAGGGGCTGGGCCTTAAAGCCCAACACTGATTAGTCATTGAATACCAACTGTCCCTGAAATGGCACATGATTTGGGGTCTGTCCATTTCTTTCTTGGAGGCGTTCCCCAGAGGAAGGCTGAAGGCTGAGTGTGTCTACTAGCAGCACCCCTAGCATCAGGAAGGGGACAGAACTGAGTCGTCTGTTCCTGAGAGGGATCTGGGCAAGTTTCACAATCACAGCACCCACCACCCTACCTATCCTGAAGACTGTGCTAGTTAGTCATTTGGAGACTAAATATATTTATTAATTGGGTGAATATTATCAAGTGATACTGTGTGTGACCGACATGGTGAAACACTGAGATAAAGACCTGAGCAAGACAGACATGGCCCCTGCCCTCATGGAGCTTACTGCCTACTGAGGGAGATAGCTGTTAAACAAGGAATTACACAAGTACTGAAATCATGATCATCATTCCCAAGGAGAGCAATGGGAAGAGATTAAAGGAGCATAACCAAGAATTTAACTTAGTCTACATTTTAAGGAAATTCTTTTTCTTTCTTTTGAGACAGGGTCTCACTCGGTCACCTAGGCTGCAGTGCAGAGGCATGATCATAGCTTACTGCAGCCTCAAACTCCTGGGCTCAAATGATCCTCTTGCCTCAGCCTCCCAAATAGCTGAGACTACAGGTGTAAACCACCACACCTGGCTAATTTTTTTTTTTTGAGACAGAGTCTGGCTGTATTGCCTAGGCTGGGGTACAGTGGCACAATCTAAGCTGACTGCAACCTCCACCTCTCTGGCTCAAGCCATCCTTCTACCTCAGCCTCCCAAATAGCTGGGACCACAGGGGGTTTTTTTGGGTGTTTTGTAGAGATGGGGTTTCACCATGTTGCCCAGGCTGATCTCAAACTCCTGAGCTCAAGCAATCCACCCACCTTGACCTCCCAAAGTGCTGGGATTACAGGCATGAGCCACCTTGCCTGACCTTATTCTGGCTAGTTTTTAAATTTTTTATAGAGCTGGGGTCTTGCTGTGTTGCTCAGGCTGGTCTCAAACTCCTGGGCTCAAATGATTCTCCTGCTTCAGGCTCCCAAAATGCTGGGATTACAGGTGTGAGCCACTGTGTCTGGATTTAGGGAAATTCTTTTTTAAGGAAGTTTTCATTTTGTTATGACCTGAAGGATAAGGTAAAATTAGCCTGAATAAAGTTAAAAGATGGAGATGACCACAGACTAATAAGAGAGGTAGGAAGAAGAGCAATAAACTGTATTTTTGAATCCAATATAAAAATCTCATACAGCTAACACAGAAACAGATGAGTGATGCCAGCTTTCCTTGATAAATTTCCAGTGCCTAATGGCTGGGGAATATCCAAGTATACGTTGGTCCCCGCTAGAGCCTCAGATTAGTTTTTAAAATGAAGAAAATAAACTGGGGAGGAGCTTAGATCATTCTAAAGCCAAGTGTATACTGAAGTGCTGCTCAGGAGCAAGGCTACATTTTGAAGACCACACTCACATGCCTTGCAAGTTCACAGGCCAAATAAAACAATTTAAGAAGCTAGAAATATGATCTAATGAGAACAGAGCCTGTGTGTGCAGCACAAACTGTGCATTTTGGTTCTGAGCACAGTGCATTTCCTTCCTCTTTTCTCCAAAGCAGAAATGTCTGCCAGCTTCCCTTTAAAGGAGACAGCATGAAAGTTTGTAGCTGTAGCGTGTAGTTCTAAATTCCCCTGATTCGTCTGTAAATTATAGACAATACTCTTGCCCTCTCACATTCTACCCATGCCTTTACACTGTCCCTTAGTTAACTTTGTTTATTCCATAGTACTTATTATTATCTGGAGATTCTACTGGAAATTTAATATATCTATTAAATTTGGATTAAATATGAATACATTATATATGTTAAATGTATGCATATATATATTTCACAAATAATTACTGAAATTGTAGTAATTGTTACCAAGGAGAGTAACAGGATTATAAGTGCATAAACGGGGACTTAATCTGAGATTTAAGGAAATGCCTCCGTGTGCATGTGTGTGTGCATACATAAATATATGTATATACACACATAGAAAAATTTTGTTTCAGTAGTCTCTTTCTCTAAAAAATAAATTTGTTTTCTTCACTGTCAGATCCCGAGCACCTAGCCAAGTGCCTATTACTCCATTAATATTTGTGGAATATTGATGATCCTGAATCGTCAGTAGTATGATTATGATTATAATCCCGAATCATCAATGTCAGCATTGAGCAGCTGAACCAATGTCTGTGGCCACTTATTAAATAAATATATGATGAACAAAACAAGCTTGTAAAGAGGTGTGGGACTGAAGCAGGGATAGTTGAATTTATGGCTGGCTAAGCTATAATTGGGTCACTGATAAGAATTTAGAGAGATATTTGGATATCATATTGATACTCAACAAAGCACTATCCTCTTGCCTTGCGCTCAACCCTGTTCTTAGCTCTCATGCTGACATCCGATTGTATCAGACCAACCCCTGGCTTGAAGATGGTTATCCATAGACAATCAAGAATTCTAGTAGATGGCTTGTCTTAGAGCACTGCCTAGGGTAGATGCCACATGCTGTGTGGTGACTGGCAGATACTACTCATTAGCTGACTGCTAACAGCTCTTCTCAGTCCCCTTCTACCTTGCTGCCTCCCTACTGTAGAGGCTGGACAGGCTTATTACTCCCTTTCCCAACCTTTGTGGCAGCTAAGTGTAGGGATGTGACATAGTTTTGGTCAGCAAAACACAAGCAGAAGTCTGTGAGGTGTGTGTATGTGTGGTGGGCGTTGGGGGTATAATGGGGGAGAGGATTGCAAAGCATTCTGTGAGAACTTTTCCTTTCTCATAGAAGGGGCAGATGCAATGGGAGAGTTTGCTGGCTTTGGCCCTTTTCCAATCTTCTTGCCTTGAATGTAGATCCAGTAATGCTGGATCTTGGCATTTTGCAACCATGAGGCAACAAGATTGAAGATGAAAAGTCAACAGCTACCAGTGAAGAACAGGAAGATGGAAAGCCTGAATCATCGTCAGCATTGAGCTTCTGAACTAATGTCTGTGATCACCTGCCTTTGGCTTATTATGGGAGAAAAAAAATAAACCCCTATTGCTTTAAGTCACCATCAGTTTGATTTGCTGTTAATCGTGCAGTTTTTTGTTTTTTGTTTTTTTTTTAACTCAGTGTCAGGCCAACCTAAATAGATTCGCTTTCAGCGAGTTGGAATGTAAACCATGATGGAGAAGAGGATGACTGAGTGGAAGGGAGAAAGGAGAAAAGAAGAAACAACAAACTCAAGTACAGGATGTAGAAGACTAGAATAGTAAGCAAAGAAGATCACTTGTTGAGGGGAGAACAAGAGGCCCAGCAGCCAGAGACTTAGCAGAACCGCCATGTGCCCCGAACAGTGCTCCCTCACTGTGCTGCCTGGGCACTAGCTCACTGGTGAGGCTTTCCTCTTCTGACATTCCCACACATCTTTACAAACATCCCTTGTCACTAAAGGTAACCTAAATGTCTCTGTTCCTTGCAACTAAAAGAGCGCAATGGAACAGGTGTGGTGGCTCACGCCTGTAATCCCAGCACTTTGGGAGGCTGAAGTGGGTGGATCACGAGGTCAGGAGTTCGAGACCAGCCTGGCTAACATGGTGAAACCCCATCGCTACCAAAAATACAAAAATTAGCTTGGTGTGGTGGTGCACGCCTGTGGTCCCAGCTACTTGGGAGACTGAGGCAGGAGAATGACTTGAACTTGGGAGGCGGAGATTACAGTGAGCTGAGATTGTGCCATTGCACTCCAGCCTGGGTGACAGAGCAAGACTCCATCTTAAAAAAAAAAAAAGTGCAATGTATTTCTAGCCATGAAATTTTTAGCCATTTCAGTATCATAAAGGGCAGTTACCCTATTCTTTTAGAAAACATTTCCCAATATCACACTAAATACCAGGCTGAAAAAACTGTTGCTAAAAAGAACTGAGTAATCTAAAGAAGCATGCAGTTTGTTCTCAGAGCCTCACACTTCCTCTTTCAGTGCTTCTTCCCCTCCAGTCTCCGTACTTCCTCCACCACACACCAAAGCCCAGTGACTTCTTGCTGCTTCTCAGAAGCCCAGAGTCCTCCTACTTGGAGAATACCAAAAACTTCCCTAGCTCACAAGGCTTCAGCTGAAGGCGTCTCTCCATCCTTATCTTTCCTCAACATCTAGGTCAATGGTTCTGTATTCCGTAGCAGATGCTCTTAGATGACTCTGGGTAATGATAGATGAACAAATTGAACAAATTAATTTATTGACATCAGTATTTGATAACCATTTTGGGGCGGACACTCCTGGATATTTTGGCATTCAAACAGTTCTTAACTAGCAGAACCAATGTGTCCAATGGTGACACTGGAGGTCTTGACAAGAAAGGATACAATAAGATACTTTGCCCTGGGCAAAAGGGTCTTTTGGGTGCCTTTCACATCATGGTATGATGGCTCATTTTTCAAAAGGCAGGGCATACCTTATATAGTTACCACAAACTAGCAGCTCAGAGCCTAAAGTCAGCCAACAGATATGTTTTGTTCAGCCAGCAGAGAGAATTCCATTTTTATTGGTTCTAGGCAGGGCATGTAGTCTTAAGTTTTAAGTATCTGTATTTAATGTGATTATCTTGAATGCCAATACTAGATTTCTAGAGCAGAACACTTTTTTTTTGTTGTTTGTTTTTGTTTTTTTACTTACAGCAAATTATTTAGCCAGCTCTTATCTCTGGGGCTATGCAATGAGACCCAGATGTACATGTAGGCTGCACATGTCATCCTATATGTAATGGTGTCTACTGTAAGTGAGGACACCCTACAAAATGAATCTGGGCATTTATATAGGAGAAAGGGCCAACTTTCCCCTCCCTCTCTGAGAAATGACGAGAAATCCTTTGTTCCCTGGTATAAACACATTCTCCTTGGGAACAGAAAGAAAGATTCTGGGCGCTTAGCTTTTGGAATGTAAATAAATTTCCCCACTGGAAAGATGAGACTAGGGTCTCTGGCTTTACATCCCAGGAGATGTCTCCATGGTCCTGGGTGTTTAATTCTTCCTTGAAATGAAAATACATGTGTCTTTGGAGAGGTAAATTTCTCTGGCATTCTCACTAATCACTTCGAAGTTAATGCCAGGCTTGTCCTTTTAGCTCAGATTCCAAGATTCAGTAAAATGGGCTCAGAAAACCCTAACTGTTCAGAAATGTAAAAATATTATCTCTATGGCCCACAGTTCCACAGTTGAACCACACGCTTACATCTCAACTGTCTTACATTCTGCAGCTTGATTTTTGTTACCTTTTTGGTTCTAACATGTAGGCATTTGTCAATGATGGGATTTAGAACATGCTACCTGAAAATATGGTACTCAGGCATTTGGAGAAACAGCAGAACTGAGAAGGTGACTCTCTGACTTTTTCCCACACTTCTCCCCTGAAGCAGGTTATAAAAGAAATCTCGGGGCCGGGTGCAGTGGCTCATGCCTGTAATCCTAGCACTTTAGGAGGCTGAGGTGAGTGGATCACCCGAGGTCAGGAGTTCAAGACCAACCTGGCCAACATGGTGAAACCCCGTCTCTACTAAAAATACAAAAATTAGCCAGGTGTAGTGGTGCACACCTGTAATCCCAGCTACTCAGGAGGCTGAGGAAGGAAAATCTCTTGAACCTGGGAGGCAGAGGTTGCAGTGAGACGAGATCCCACCACCACACTTCAGCCTGTGTGATGGGAGCTAGACTACATCTCAAAAAAAAGAAATTCATGGGCCTTTGTCTGAAGGAGGTCACAAGGCAACATTACAGAGTGCACTTTCTATATCAGGAAGGAAGGAATTTTTTTTTTATCTCTGATGACACAGGGACACAGAGAAGTAGCTCAGAAGCATGCTTGCTAAATTCCCTTCATTTTATGACCATTGGATCACAGCCTTTTGTCCTCCAAGCACACTTCTGCATGGCTGCCCACTCTTCATCAAAACTCAGTATAAAAAAACACTTACATTAAATACATTTATATGCACTTCTCTTGTTAATCTGTCTTTTGTTATAGGTGCCTTGGCCATGAACCTAACAATGGGTGAGGAAAGAATCTCTTCTCCCCTATATCATCAAGTTATAACAACCAATACTTTGGTCAAAGAACGTATACTTGCTAACATCTAGACCTTTAAAAAGAGAATTGAAATACACTCCGTTTGTGTGAATGAAAAATTTATAATATGTCTTTTCAGACAGGAAATCATTCAAAAATGAAAATGTAATTTCTTACTACTCCAAATTATATAGAGGATAATTGTATCTGCATGGAAATGTGTCATCTGAGAAATGGGTTCATTTTGTCACATAAATCCTAGTTGCTGGTTAGGAGTGAGCAAGACAGTCTTTGGTCAGTCAGGCATTTTGTGAATGAGACTGTGCAGCACTGTGATCAAGCCTGAAGCCCCTGAGGCTGGACTGCCTGCGTTCAGGGCTCCCACCACCAATGCTTCATCATGTGATCTAGGACTAGGGACTTGTCTTCTCTGTGCCTCAGTTTCCGTACTTGTAAAGTGGAGATAGAATAATGTATAGAGCATAGGATCTTCGTGAAGGTGAAATGAGATAGTTATGAAAAATCTGTAGTCCTCTGCCTGACAAGTAACATTAGCTGTGTTATTAGATGAATGTTAGCTGTGTTATTAGATAAGTGTTAGCTGTGTTATTATTTGCTACATCACCTCCCTGCTCCTCTGTGATTTAAAGAGAGCTTATTCTCTAATAGCAAATGGTAGAAAGAGAGAGGGAGAGATTTGTAAACTAAAAAGGGCATCACAGTTTTATTTCTTTGACTTGTAATGGAAGTTTGGACCAGCTCTGGCAAGAATGCCACAGGGAGCAGAGAGTTCTACTCAAAGTGGTGGGGAGTGGTTAGAAAATTTTTTAGAGTAGGAGGAGACCTTTGAACTGAATCTTGAAACCACTTTCTACTCTCACTTTGGGCTCCTAGAAACCACCAAATAGTGGTAGAGAAAATAAAACAGACATTTTTAGAAAGTGTGTATTTTCCTATCGACTAATAAGCAATGACTGTATTTTTGAAAAGCGTGTTTACAGCTTTCGATTCCAATAATTGCATGTGACAAATCTAAGCATGGTCAGCTTGTGCTTCTCCTGGCTTTGCCTTTTATTAGCTCCTGCACTGGCCAGCCACAGTTATTGTACCTCCATCCTATTCCTTAGTCATTTGTGATTAAGTGTATCAGCAGTCTGATAGAAGACTGTAAGAGCTTACTTATTAAGATCAAGATAGAATGAGGGCAACACTATTCCTTAGGCCAAAGCAGGGAGGAACAATTTAACTGGGACCTATCTGAGGACATAAGCGTATGTTTTAGAAAACTACACCAAAAAGGAATAGTTAGGATGGAAACATGACAGAAATGTGGAGTTCAGGGAGACAAAATTGTTTAGTGTGTTCCCAGCAGCATCCAAGAGAAAGGATATCTTTTCCTGATAATGCACATGTCTAGTCCCTTTGTCAGGGAATACAGGGGTTAATTAAGAGTATGAGAAGCCTGGCTGGGTGCAGTGACTCCCAGCACTTTGGGAGGCCAAGGCAGGAGGCTTACTTCAGGCTAGGAGTTTAAGACCAGCCTGAGCAACATAGAGAGACTACGTCTCTACAAAAAATAAAAAATAGCCAGATATGGTGGCATGCAACTGTAGTCCTAGCTACTGTGGAGGTTGAGGTGGGGTGATTTTTTGAGGCCAGGAGTTCAAGGTTACAGTGAGCCATGACAGCACCACTGCACTCCAGCCTGGGCAACAAAGTGAGACCCTATCTCTAAAAAGAAAAAAAAAAAAAAAGTATGGGAAACCAGACTCACTGGGTTCAAATCCCAGCCCCGTTATTTAATAGCTTTAGAACATTGGGTAAGTTATTATATCTCTGTTTGCCGCACTTTCCTCGTCTGTAAATTGGGATTCACAGTAATACCTCAATAGAGTAGATGTGAGGGTTCAGTGAAGGCATATGAGTTATTCAGTGCCTGGGACAGAGAACGTGCTGGATAAATCATGGCTAGTATTTCTCTTTGCTCAGCATTATCTGCTCACATTTTCATTCT